CTGACTGAACATTGTTGGATTTATACCTGGATTAATGAGCATGAACTTTGGTGTAGGCTTCTAAACATTACTGATTAGAGATGGACCAATAAAAAAAATAGTTCAACAAAAATAGTTTTAAGATTTTAAGCTTGACCAGCTTGATCAGTGACTGACTGATATGATCTTTTTTTTTTTTTGAGATTCTATGTATTTTGCTGCTAGCCCTGATACCTGCAGCTCCTGAGTGGCAGGGCGGAGCCAACCCTCACCTGTCCAATGATGATGAGGACTGCTGCTTTTAAGCACCTGTAGTTCGATGCAGTCCAAACATTTCAACTTGTACCAGAACAATCTACTCCACTGAAATATATTTAGACAAGATTCAGCATTTCTATGTGCTGTAGAGATTTTTATTATTATTTGTATTGTTGATGTGCAATCTGAAGCCTGCCAGCTTAGCAAGAAAATAGTGAAAATTCTCCTTTACGGATCAATAGTGACTCAAATATAAATCAGTGACTATAATCTGTTTTGACAAGGGTCAAGCCGAGAAGAGCAGGGAGATCTGTGTAGGCAGCTATGAAAGACCTCTGTAATCCCTGTATATCTTTGGGCTCTGCTCTGTGAGATCTCACTGGGATGAAAACGTACATGTCCCAAATTTCAAACGCTCCAAAATCCAAAGCTAAGCAAGCCAGCGAGAAAGAAGTCACCAGAAAGAAGTGAAAAGGCCATTCTGTTATTGCACTTTTACAGGCTCTTGAAAGCAGCAGACGGCGACAGCATGACTCATTACAAACATGTAATAGGATACAGCACAAAGGCAACAGGAGTAGAATGACAGTCATGTTTGTGTTTTCACCGCATCCAAGGAACATAAGCTCCTGGTATTGACCACCGCTCTGAACTGAAACAACTTTGCTGATCCCGCTCTCTGTTGCATAATTAAAGTGGCCCAACAAAGGCAGCCTCGTGACCTCATATTATATTACAGGGTCTTAAAGAACAAGTGTCTGAATTTACAACTGGCTAAGAATGCTAATCAACTGATTTAGACCTTTTTCTGTGTATAATATCAGGCTAAATGGATGAAAAGCTCGTGTGACATTTGAAAGCAGTCAGTAATCATCTCTTTAGAGTCGACCCAGCTTCTTTTTTTTTTTCTCAAACTCCAACTGGACAGAGCCAGTTTGTCCCACGCTGCACACATTACATCATCTAGGTACAGCTGAGCATTACAGTGCAATACTTTAAATGCATTGCCTCACCTATTGAGTGTCAGGAACAATTACAGAGTTTATACAATAAAACAAGTAAAGTATATTTTAAATGGTCTTAAAAGGCATAAATAAAGAAAATGTTTATGATATTTTTAATATTGAAATTAGACATGTTTCAGTGATGGAGACATGTTCAAGAAAAATTCAACTTGTACTGTTTTGGTTGTTGTTGAGCCATTAGGGGGTGAAAAAATGTCTCTAATGCAATTTGACAATATTTATACACATTTTTCTCCACTTGGTGTTTTGGTGACAGTGGTGGAAAACATCATCTAACATCTCTGATCATGCATGTGCCGATCTGGTGACTGTAAAGACCATGGCATGTGAGTCATGTAATTTTCCTACTCATTCAATGCCCCCCACCCCCACCCTCCTGGTAACAATGAATAGGGGTTTGTCATACTGGAAAATACCACCCTCATTATGGTCTAATAAGTGCTGCTTAAAGATGACCATTCAGCAAGATGTCAACGATTTGCAGCAACTACATGCAGGCAAAAATTATATAATAATAATAATAATAATAATAATAAATAATAATAGTGCTAATAACAGGCAGAAGTAACAGATTTGGGAATTCAGACTGCATAATTTTAGGAAGACATAACATTGAACTTCCACCTGCCTCCACCCTTATTCGCCCCACTCTGGCCCCCTGAGCAAGGCCCTTAACCCCCACCATGTGCTCCCTAAACAGGTCGCTCTTGAAAATTAGTTCTCGTGACTCAATGAGACTACCTGGATAAATAAAGGTAAATTAAAAAAATTGAACTTCCACCTTGTTTCTTAAGGCTGGCCACTCATATTGCAGTACTGGTGTCCCACATCTTTAACCTGTCCATAAGCCAAAACTCCATTCCAGATGCTTGGAAAACAGCCTTTGTTCTACCTTTGCAGAAGGGAGGTGACCTCACCTCCCTGAACAACTATCGATGAATCTCTAAACTATGCATTTTAGCCAAGGTTCTAGAAAAACTGATAAACTCTCAAATCAAAAGGTATTTGGACTCATTTAACATCTTACCTCTCCATCAATCTGGTTTCAGGAAACAACACAGCACAACGACTGCTTCACTGAAGGTTCTTAATGACGTTGAAGCACTGAATGTTAAGGATTACTGTGCTGCACTTTCCTTAGACCTGTCTAAAGCTTTTGACACTGTGGATCATAACATCTTGTGTCATAAGCTCTCAGAAATTGGTTTCTCAGATCATACCATTGGTTGGTTGTCTAACTATCTTTCAGATCGGAGGCAATGCGTTCAATATAATGGTATTTCCTCCAGTTATTTAACAGTCAACAATGGTGTACCGCAAGGCTCCGTCTTAGGACCCACCCTCTTTACAATCTACATAGGTAATGTAGGTCAGAGCATCCCATATGCATCCTTACATAGGGCTGGGTACCTTTCTAAAAAATTTGGTATCAGTACCGGTGTCAGTACCTTCACTTCGGTGTCGGTTCCTGGACGGTTCTTTTATCAGTACCAATTTTGTAATTAATATCAGTTCTAACAAAAAGAAAATTATGTTACACATTACAGTACAAATCGTGAGTTTTATTTTTTAATTTTGGTATTTTTCCATTCGTAATTTTCTTACATAAAAATAAACACATAATTTTCAGGTCAAAAGAACAATTGCAAACCAGTGACACGTCAGTGTCTAATGCTCACTGCTACACACTGAGAACCTTTTCACTTAACAGTTTTTCTTCAGAAAAATCAACATGTCTGCTTTCTCTGGACACAAACAAGCCCGCTCCTGGCTGATGGTGTCTCCAGCAGTAGGAAATGTTCACTCTGAGGGTGTGGATGATGCTTTTTGCACACACAGATACCTGGTTGCCAGTTTGATAGCATTGGCATAGTGTCCCTCACATTCCACCAGCAGGTCACTGGATTCACTGAGGTTAGGGTTGATGCTTTCATCTGCACCTCTGTATCTCTTCCTGAATCTTCTCTGTGGTTCTCTGGGGTTTACGGCTCTTATCATATCCCTAATTGACATGAGAACACAAAACATCAACAAAAACATGGTTGTGTTATTATTGCTCACAAACCATTATCTTGGCTGAGAGATAAAAGTTTAATTGGTCAACAATATCCTTTACAGGTTACTTACCTCCACCATGCAGCCTCCACTGTAGAAAAAGGCAGTGGCCCCTCCATCTTGCTTTTCTTTTGTCTGTGTCCTCCTCAGGGTCAGATGCTCCTGTGAGGAGAACATAAACAAACAGTGAACATTAGGTGAACTGTGTAACCAGCTGATCCGATGGATGAGCACATTTTAGCTTTTGATTTTAGCTATCTACATAACCATAAAATAAAGCTCCACACTAATATTTTAAAGTTAGCATTACATGGATCCTAGTTTAATTCACCGCGATGCACGTATTAAGCTGCAGTAACGTTAACAAACGTAAACTTACCAGCTGAAATTCCAGACACAGCTCCGTCCTTGGAGTTCTTTGATGAAGAAGAGTCCAGCCGTGGAGATAATGAATCAGGCTGTTCATGCTGTCTAACACTCACAGGCTGACTTTAACGCTGAGAGGAGGAGGGAGGCTGCAGTCCCCCTTGAAGACAAACATGGAGCAACTTTCTGCTCGTAAACTGAAGCCGTTTGACGCCACACATGCTGCACACATGAGCCCCATCTGTGGGCGGAACCAGCACCATAGACATACAAGCTGTAGGGCAGCTCTATACAACTCTGGATGTAAACACGTAGTCTGTTTGTTATATGTCTGGTGTTTTACCTGCCTGCGTGCTGAAACCACGTGACACGTTACATCCAATACCAAAACTCAGTGGTGGTTCCTTATATGGGCGACATGGGCGGCCGCCCAGGGCGGCCTCCAGCAGGGGGCGGCATAACACCACCACCCTCCCCCCCGCTTGCGCCCATGATCGCTGAAGATAAAAACTTGCTGAAAACCTACCAAATGTGGTTAAAAGCAGCCCAAATTCTAACAACCCACCCATAGCTGTGTATATGGAGGTTTTTTGGCTGGCAACTGTCAGTCAGATCTGGGCTGGCAACCCTGGGTTGATGGTGGTGTTAATCTATTCCGCTTAAATGCAAATTATGGAAGATGAAAAGGAAAAGGTCAAAGCCATCGGGTGCGTAGTTTGGGAAAAAGAGAAAAGAAGAAAAGGAGAAACGAGCAAAAGATAAAGGTAAGAAGAGCTGTGTGTCACTGTCATTTCTTGTGTGAAATGTCTAGGCTGTAGCTTGCTAATGCTAACTGGTTAGCTGCTTAGGACGACATATTTTGTTAACAGCAGAAAATATTACAGTCTTGAAGATTGACATTCTTCTTAAACTAAACAAACAACATGGAAAAGTAATAATGGGCCACTACAATTTCTAAAGGCAATGATTTTGTGATGTACTTTGGATGACTGGAGCTCGAAGACTGACGGCCCATTGGAGGCGCTAATGTTTCAGCGTGGCCTACAATACTTCTCCTATGAATTTCATAAATTGGAAATATATGTAGGCTTGGTTAAAAAAAAAAAGGCTTAATTGTTTTTGTCATTTGCTATGTCAGTTTAACTGCCCCTTGATCACATTAGTTGAGAAAACGGGGGCACCAACGGGGGTGCCGTTGGGGTTGCTCGCCCAGGGCGCCAAAAAGGCTAGGACTGCCACTGCCAAAACTTGACACTGAAAGAAGAGTGACGTTTCAATCCATACACCGACCAAACTGCGTCGGTCGGTGCCATAAAAGAACCTCGGTTCGGTATACAGCCCTATCCTTACATTTATATGCTGATGACACATTTGTTTATTGTCAAGCTAAAACAGTTGCTAAGGCTTTCCAGCTTTTGCAATCTGCTTTCGACATCATCCAGTCAGATTTGTTCCATCTCAAACTTGTCCTAAACACAAACAAAACCAAAGGGATGTTGTTTTCAAACAGGAAGTTGATCCCAGCAGTTCTTCCTATCCTCAAATGGTGCCCCTATAGAGTTTGTTGATTTCTACAAATATTTGGATATCTTGGTCGACTCGCATCTCTCTTTTAAGCTCCATGTGGAAAACCTAGTAAAGAAACTGAAAGTTAAACTGGGTTTCTTTTTCAGAAACAGATCCTGTTTAACTCTGAATGCTAGGAAACGCCTTGTAATTGTGACTTTCCTTCCCTCCATTGACTACGGTGACATTATTTACATGAACGCGCCTACAAGTACCCTGCAGATGTTGGATGCTGTCTATCACTGTGCGCTAAGATTCATAACTGGCTGTAACCCATCATTGCACCCTGTTTTCACTGGTTAAGTGGTCATCATTAACTTCACATAGACTTTCCCACCAGTACATTTTCATATTTAAATCACTTCTTGGTCTGTTGCCTTCATACATCTCCTCCTTCATGTCTCTGTGCGAGTGCAGCTACAGCGAGCGCTCTCAGGACATTATTACCTGCAGTGTTCCCTCAGTGAGGACTGAACTAGGCAAAGGGCCTTCTCCTACTCCACTCCTGTTTCCTGGAATATCTTGCAAAAAGATCTGAAGCTCTCGACCTTGACCTCTTTAAGTGGCTTCAAACGTCTGCTAAGTTCATGGGAAAAACCAATGTAGACATGTTCCTGTTTTTAGTTTTCTACATCGCTTTATAATGTAGCTGTTTTTTTCACTACATGTCCTTTTAATTTCCCTTTTTAATTACCATTTTATTTTCACTAGCTAAAAAAAATGTATGCATCCTTTATGATTGGCAATTGTTGTCATTGTTGTCATCATTTTTTGTTAAAATTCTCTTGTAAATGAGTCCCCGAGGCTCAATGGGATTAACCTGAATAAACAAAGGTTGAATGAATTGCAATATCCTTAAATATTGTGATGACTTTTTTTTTACAAATCCATATTATCTTCACTTCTCTTCTTCTGTTCTGCCATCATGATGTGTTTTAGCAGCTCCGTCACTACCATCTAAATCTCAGGAAATTTTCTGAGGACAACTCTCAGCTACTACCACCCAGATTTAGTTCAGTATCTGTAAATTGAATGAGCTGTAGCCAATTTTGTGTTGGCTAAGGTTGATTAGCAATGGCCATCTTGAATTGGGTTGACTCCAAAAGCTATAGAGTTGTAAATGTACATCTAATAATTGCTTTCTAAATGTTTCATTAAAACACATGTGGTTCACAAGATATTTTGCCAACAGCTGACTGAAATGGTTAATGACAAAGTTTTAAAAACAAACCTGAAGTGATATGTTCATGCTCAGACTATGTGCAAGGGGATGACTCTCAGCTACTATTACACAAAACTTTAGCTCAGTATCTGTAAAGCAGGCTGAGTAAGAGGCTTGTGTTGCTTAGCTGTGGCAGCCATCTTGAATAGGGTTGATTCCATCCAGGATTACTTTGTGAGAGTTTTATTAAACTCTAACGAG